CCACGTACGTGCGGATCGCCGGCACGATCCCCTCCGCGATCGCCTTGATCGAGTAGCCCAGGAAGTCCGCCATCTTCAGGTGCCCGAACCGCTCGTCCCGCGGCACGTAGATCTGCTCCACCAGCGACAGCCTACTCTCCGAGTCCGGATCTGCACGCACGCATACGTGTACAAAAAACATCAGTCAAAGTCAAAGTCAACGGTCAACCACACAAACCGGGCCCACCGTCAGTGAGACATTGCAGCTGAACATGGACCAGTTCTGGTGTTTCACTATGACAGGTGGGCCTAACTGGGAGGTATGTGAGTGAAGGTGCCACATTCTAGTGTAAAAATGTATAAAAAACTTTTTAGACCTTAAAATGTTTTTTTAAGAATCGTAAAATTTTTGGTTGGGGGATGCGTACCGGTGGTGGTGGGTTTGCGGCCGGTGCGGCCGCGGCGAGGGTAGGGGGTGTCGGGGGAGCCGCCGAGGATGGGGCGAGGGTTGCCGGAGTCGGGGGAGCCGAGGTCGTTGTAGACATCGTAGCGGTAGACGCGGTCGTGCTCCTCGTAGGGGCCCTGCTGGTCGTCGCCGCGCAGGTTGCGGAGCTCGTCGTCGCGGTACGGCTTCAGCGCCGCCGGCATCTGGCTCGGCAGGTAGGCCTGCGCGTCGCCGCAGAAAATATATCACAAAGTTAATTATAGCACGTACTCGTATTAATACGCATCGCTAATTACTCCTACTTAATTGGTTAGTTGATTGCCCAAATCAGTCCCTTGATACGGCACCGGCCTTGGACACCTGGCTGCACGCTGAACAAGAGGCAGGCAACTATCTGTTCACTTTAAAACTTTTACCGTGTCATGTGTTCGCAAAGTAAAATCGAGTGCTGTGTCGTTGATCTTGTTGAAAAAGCTTCTCGGGGCCATGAAACAATGCCGTCTAAATGGGTGTGAACTGTGAACTGTGGCAACTATGATGAGTTGATGACTCACGTGAACTCACATGCCTTCCTGAGTCCAAGGACTATTCCAGATTTCTAGTACTATAGCCACTTTTATGTTGTTATCATCAGGAAGCATATCCATTGTAGAGCTGCTTCTTTTTTTTGAACAGTGCTACTAAATCCACTTCACCTACCACATAAACAACTTACATAAAGTCCATTCACTTCTCACCTAACCAAATATCTTCCCTATGGACGCCTACCAAACGACGTGAATCAAGCAACTTACTACATAAAGCATCTACGAACTGGCCAAACAAAGAAGAACGGCAAATGGTTACTGTAATAGTGTAATTTACATGCAGGGTAGCATAATACAGTATGCAGCAGAGAAGAACTCACATCGTTGGCGAAGAAGACGCGGTCGTAACGGTACTTGTCGGCGGGGTAGACCCAGGAGTTGGCGAGGAAGACGACGGCGCCGGCGCGGCCGGGGACGTCGTCGAGGGTGATGGTCTTGAGGAAGAACTCGTTGCTGTGGTGGTTCTTGACGATGATGGCCCCCGGCACGCCGAGCTTGTCGACGTCCCAGTCGAACGTCACGCCGAACCGCGACTCCCCCGTCGTCAGCGACGGCAGGCTGCTCGTCAGCCACTGCTCCAGGCTCGCCTCCGCCCCCACCTTCCCCCGGTTGCCGTTGTCTGCACGCCGATGAGAGGATCATGCCCAATCCGTTCCCGTTAATTAGTCCAAACCAACGACTAATCATGCCCCAGCTGTTAATTATACTACGTGTCACCACCTCGCGACACCAGCTATAGTTTCAGGCATCTAGTTCAAAGTGAGGTACTACTTCTTCTTTTTTTTTTTACTTTTTAGCTTTTGTACTTTGGGTTAGCATCTGGTACTCCTGCCCTGGTTGTCTTTTTCCTCGACGTTGGTCTCTTCTTTCCATGTCCCATCAAAAGAGGACCGAGCTAGCTAGGCAATGGCCGCCCATACAGTGTTTAAGTTTGTATGGACAAAAATGAACAAGAGAGGTAAATCGACCAAGAGAAGAGATGCAAGGGGGTGAGAGGGGGGGGGGGGGTGTGCTCACTTGGGTCGACGGCGGTGGAGCTGATGAGCTGGCAGGTGACGCCCTTGCCGAGGAACTCGCCGAGGCCGTCGATGACGGTGGCGCCGAAGTCGTTGAGGTCGAGGACGTTCTTGCGCATGAGCACCACCGTGCCCTTGAGCCGCGACTGCTTCGACGACCCCGTGATGGTGTCGATGATCCCTCCCAGCATCTTCGCCTCTTCTGGATGTCTCGAGCTCTCGACCTGGGTTTGCCGTGGACTGATGAACTGATCACTTTAATCAGTACGTTTCGCTCTGAATCGAGTTGCAGTGAGCGTGAGCTCGCTGGGTATTTATAGCCACAAGAGGGTGTAACTGGGAACAGTACAATAGGGCCGTGACTGAAGATTGACTGGTGAGTGCTAGTGGGGGATACTCTGCTTAAAATTTATTATCTCAAATCATTTGGCACAATTTAATATTCTTGAGAGCGAGAGTTCGGTTTATCATCTTACTGAAATTCTTTAGATTAAACTTTTTGATAGGTAAGTGAATTAAGCACTCGTTTCAAAATTATTATGGGTGCGTTTAGTTCACGCTAAAATTAGAAGTTTGGTTGAAATTGAAACCATGTGACGAAAAAGTTAAAAGTTTGTGTGTGTAGGAAAGTTTTGATGTGATCGAAAAGTTGAAAGTTTGAAGAAAAAATTTAAAACTAAACTCGGCCTATGTCGAAATTATTGACATAGTTTTGGTAATACCAAACATTATCGTCACATCTCTACGACTCTATCAGCCCAAAATTTAAACAACATCAGAGATTTCGGTACCCAAATCTTAGTAATTATACTTTATTTTTTAAATATAACATTATTAACTTTTAAACATGATATTTCATCATTTGCTTTGTTTTATAAAAAAAAGTTATATAAGCATTATTTATGTTGTTTCTACTTTTTATAAATACATATATGTATTTTTATTTTGTTTTTACATACTTTATCATTAAAGATATTTCAAGTATGACTTATATGTTCATATATTTATATCAAATTTTTAAACAAGATGGAAAAATAAATGTCTTGTCTAGAAATGAATGACATAATTTCTGCTACTATAGAAATGAATTGGAGTTGTCATACTTCCCTCTTGTCCTCCTAGCGAGTCTGTGCCCTCCATCCAAGTGAGTAATACTCCATCCGTCCTATAATATAAGGGATTTTGGGTGAATGTGACATATGCTAGTATGCTGAATCTGGATATTGTGGGACAGAGAGAGTACGTTATTGTATTCTTAATCACCTCCTAGTCTATCGTTTGTTGTATCGTTTTGACTTTTTTTCTAATTAAACTTCTTTTAGTTTGATCAAGTTTATAAAAAAAATTACAATATTTTGACACAAAACAAATATATTATCAAAATATATTAATTTCTATATGTTATTAAATATTTCTATATTAAATTTAAAGAATTTTAATTATAAAAAAGGTAAAAATAATTTATAATATAAAACGGAAGAAGGCTAATTACGACCGGTCACGTACGGGTGCATTAAAAAGGAAAACAGAAGGAATACGTTATCAAACCAAACCACCCCCCACACTGGTGCTACTGGCCTTAATTAGGACTAGGGCCATGGCATCGGCCACGTTTGCGATAGCTTAAAATCGATTTGAATATTTGGGAAGACGCGAGCGGCGTGGGAAACGTCCGCGTGCACCGTGCAGCTCGTCTCATTCGTCTCGGTTTCCCCTGCTCCTCCAAATCGCGACGTCGACGTGCACCGATGCACGGTGTGCCGGGGCGGCTCGTGTTGTGCGTGATTTTATTTCATAATAATGCTGACTCCAAACTCCTAACTGCTCAAGTCCAGCTATATCTGATTTGCATTGTTGACATAACAACTTTTCGTTAGAGGGGAATACATTTATGTGCATATAAGTTTTTCCTGTTTACATCGCGTACACCAAGAAATAAATTATACTAAAAATGTTAGAAAAACCCATACATATAATTTTAAGGAATTTGCTATATTCTTTTAGTACTTAGTACTTGCCAGACTCATTATATTTTAGTTGTAATAAAAAAAATAAAAGTTTCGACAGATTTGAAAGTAAAAAATATGTTAGAATTTCATCGCTCCCTATTTATAATAAATTTGTAGGTATGACTTTATACATATTTGTAAAACTACTGAAAGATTATATACATTGTTTTAGAATTTTTTAATCATATTTTTTAATTGATGTATATGATACTTATAAAAAATAATTATGTGTATAGGATATATCTCTGATTAGAGATACTAGCAAACAAATTAGCGGAGGTGAAATTTCAGTATCAATTTTAGACCGATATAGGTATCGTCTTCATCATCGATCTTTGTCATCGTGAATTATCCGAAGCCATCGTTTCTCTTATTCGCGATATAACAGAGAGCCTCGTAATTAATTCTTCCTCACCACCAGGATCTGTTTGATGTTAGAAAAGGGTAACGATCGAGCTCTTGATTCTGAATTGAACCACGTGTACTCCCAAAAGCTAGGGGAGAATAAAAAGGAAAAACAGAACAATATCTGCAGTACGACTCTGAATTTCGTGTCAGCAAACAAGAGAGAGAGGGGGAACTGTGGCCATGCGATTCACACGTCCATTTGTGATTTGTGTGCCTCGACTTCCGATCTCTCACGTCAGTCCGTGATTTGTAAGAGCAGGTACAATAGCAGATAATAGTAAACTATTAGCCAACTATAAACATATTTTAATAAGATAAAAGATGAGAGAGAAGAACATCGGACTATAGATCTATAGTCAGCTGCAGCACGGACTCTAAGACGTAATGTGTGTATAAGAGCAAGGTCAACAAGAGAGCCAACTGCTGGCTCCAATTAGTGTCCATGTCATCTATAGTACTCCCTCCGTCCCAGAAAGGAGGACGTTCTAGGTTAGTTAGGAAAAATTAGTGTTGTGTGAAAATGACCATTTTGCCCTCAATTTATAGAATTGGGGCTAATCATTTGAATGCTTAGTAGGAGTACGACAAGTACACTGCCACATCTGTACAAAAGGAATATTTGAAGCATCCAATTAATGCTGGGTGCTACTACTAGTATCAACACTACAGATTGGTGTTATACACCTAATTCGAGTGATATGGCGCCAAAACATAAGGGCTTAAAAGAATCCAACCGGTCTAATCAAATTCAAAAACTCCATGGATGGTGCTTTGCCACCCAAGGGTACCCTCCATAATCCTCAAGCAGCGAGGCAGTTACAAGCCTTTTATCACTTCATCCATCATCCTACAAACCAACTCCACACCCACCCATCACAATGGCTATAGATCTAAACATATTAGCAGAAGAAGAGGAAGATGGAGGGGCTTTACCTGACCTCAATGAAGCACAAGCCAATCTAGAAGAAGAAGTTCCTGGAAGGTATGTTATCCAGGTAGATGACCTTGCTCGAGTTGCTTGCCATGGAAATGATCAAGTTGTACATTCTTTTGATCTCAACTTGGGAGCTTTTGATCTCAACTTGGAAGCAACAGAAGAACAAGAACAACTGCATCCAGGTTTTTTACTTCATCTAATCTTTCTCAATGCATAAAATGGGTTCTTTCTCAGTGCATGTTGATTGCATTAGTAAATCTGGCTCTAAAAAACTATGGTGTTGTATGACATGCAACAGCAGATTATACCCCCTCATCAGCACACATGCTCTCTCTCTCTCTCTCTCTCTCTCTCTCTCTCTCACACACACACACACACACACACGATCTGAAAAGAACAAAAGGTTGCTACTGTGACAGTTTTGCAGAGTTTAGTTCTTCTAGTTCCATTATCATGTATCAGAAGACACTTTAGAAACTAGATAACAGGTGTAGTAATCATAGAGAGTAAAACTCAAGACATGTCACTATGGTTTCAAACAGATTAAAGCATTGGCAAACAAATAGATTAGATTTCAGAGCCTAGTATGAAATTTTAGTTCACATCTGACCATTTCTTTTCAGAATCCTAGAGCATCTGGACTTTACAGAAGATAGAGAAAACAAATGAACTGTAAATAGCACATTGTTACCTAACATCGAATTAGGGAGGAAGTAACTTTGGTCATGGCCAGAGCATGTTGGAAGAATTAACAGGCACAACCTATTGGTGAGCAGAACGATGTCAAGATTTACTAACTAATTTTGTTAATTGCTAGTACAAAGAACCAATTTATTGCCAAGAACCCACACGTCTTGCCAAATTTAAGTATTTAATATTCATCAACAAATCACGTGTTTATGATGCGAAATATTGAATCATGCTTAGATGGTCACATACTTGTGAAATTTGAATTGTGAAACATCCTTAACTCCAGCTCCCAGTCCCAGACACAATATTCCTGTTGACCTGCTACTGAAAATAAGCAAGAACTGAATTAAGTACCTGAAAAAAATTACTTGTACAACACTAGAACTTAAATAGAGCTAGAGGTAGAATTAAATACATAACTGAATTAGCATGACAACAAATCAATGCTACCTTACGAACAGATGTATGAATAAGTCATGGATCTTGATATGGAAATATGGAAGAGTTAGTACTATTGTAAACTACAGTTATGAGTCATGACATTGCAAATCCTAAACATATTCAATATTCTTTGTGCGGCACTGACCAGCAAGTAGTTTTTTTTAGACAATTATCAGCAAGACATGGAGCATGACCTGGATATGCATGCAAATGGAAATGAGGAACAAGAAATTCAACTGGGTAAAAGTTCATTACTCTTTGATCAGTTACAAACATGTTTACATTCTTGATTTTAGGACTGAATAAATCTACACAATCTGATTAACACACATTAACTTACCATGTAAATTTTTTTGTAGACAATGACAATGAATTGCAACATGAGCTGGAAGCCTTGGAGGATGATCTTCGGGACTATGGCGTGTATACAGATACTGTCAATGTTGTCTTTGATAGAGAGGAGTTGTCAGACTCAGAAGAAGAAGAAGATGCAAATGCAAATCCAAATCCAGATGCAAATGGAAATGAGGAAAACAGTTCTAGAGAATTGACAAACACACAAAGGCAAAGAATTTATGAATTGTTGCTTGCAAAAAGTAAGGATGGAAAACTAGAAAAAGACACCACACGTGCAGTTGCTCAAGTGTTCAATGTCAGCATCCGTACAGTCCAGCGTATTTGGAAGAGAGCAAAGCTTTGCATCGCACATGGAGTACAAGTTAATGTTGACTCGAGGAAGTGTTACAATTGTGGCCGCAAAAAGGTTGTAATAGACTTGTCGGTTGTATCAGCTATTCCATTGCGCCAAAGAAGCACTATACGGTCACTTGCTGAAGCCCTAGGTGTGTCAAAAAGCACATTGCATAGGTTGTTCAAAGAAGGGCATCTACGACGTCACTCTAACTCACTAAAGCCTTATTTGAAGGAGGCAAACAAAAAAGAAAGGCTGCAGTGGTGTGTTGGTATGCTAGATCATCGTACGTTACCAAACGACCCCAAGTTTATTGAAATGGAAAACATTGTCCACATAGATGAAAAATGGTTCAATGCCACCAAAAAGGACAGAACTTTCTACCTGCATCCCCTTGAGGAGGAACCCTATAGACCTGTCCAAAATAAGAATGCAATTGAGAAAGTAATGTTTCTATCAACAGTTGCGAGGCCTAGGTATGATGCTGAAGGCAATTGTACTTTTGATGGTAAGATAGGCATTTGGCCTTTTGTTAGAAAGGTAACACAACCTTCTTATACAAGTGTTATTTACTTCTGTTTTTTATGTTTAAACCTAGCCTATTTGATGTACTAACAGGAACCCGCACAAAGGAGAAGCCGTAATAGAGAGAGGGGGACACTTGTAACAAAGACAATTAAGGTTGATAGAGACACTATGAGATCATTTATAATCTCTAAAGTTCTCCCAGCTATTAGAGCATGTTGGCCTCTAGAAGATGCAAGAAGAACAATATTTATTCAACAAGACAATGCTAGAACTCATGTACCAATTGACGATGAGCAGTTCAGTGTTGCAGTAGCTCAAATGGGGCTTGATATTCGCCTCGTGAATCAACCTCCCAATTCCCCCGATATGAATTGTCTAGATCTTGGCTTCTTTGCATCACTTCAGTCCTTAACTGCTAATAGGGTGTCTAAAAACATGGAGGAGCTAATAGAGAATGTTCAGAAGGAATATAATGACTACGATCCAAAGACTCTGAATAGAGTGTTCGTGACACTACAAAGCTGTTGCATTGAAGTAATGGAAGCTAATGGAGGGAATAAGTACAAGATCCCTCACATGAACAAAGCGAGGCTAGAGGCACTTGGCATTCTTCCTAAAGCCCTTCGCTGTGATCGTCAGTTGTATGAGAAAGTCATACAACTTCTAGGCAACTAATTGTGCACTTGTGTCATAATATGTACTTTTGTCATCTATGTACATGTGTCGTCTATGTAATTGTGGAAACTAAATATATAATATGTTTGCTTGTTTGAATGTTTTATCCTAGGTTCTATTAACAAGTTGATTGTCCATATGCACAATAAAAAAACAAGCACTAGTATTTCATAGAGATGCATGACATTTCAATAAGATGTTGAATAACCATATATTCCAAAAGATGTCACCAAACAGAACCACATAATATATAACATGATAGGATGCCACTATGCAGCTGACTAATTATGAGTTCGTATTTTGGACTAACAACAAGAAGTACGTAGACGGCACATGTCACGCCCAGAAATTCTCGAACCAGAATTTCTAAGCTGAATGTGCATTGAATCCCTGTCCAGGACCAGCCAGGGTACACAAACGACAATTGTTGACATACGGATCCACGTCTTACAAAAATAGAAAAGATTACAAATGCAGCGGAAAAGATAAAAGCGAGCTAAACCGGGAAGCTTGACTTCAGCAGCGGGCGACTCCACTCCACAGGCAATCCTTGACGGCAGCGACGAAACCAAATTTGACAAAACAGCTCCAACTAGGAAGATCTTCAGCTCTGGTGTGGGGGAAAAGAGAGCAAGACTGAGTACTACCCACTGTACTCAGCAAGTCATACCGGAAGAGGAGGTATGATGCAGGATATAACCAAAGGAGGCTAGAGGTTCTTTTGCATAAAGCTAGCATTTAAAAGCAGTAGTTGAAAGCAGTAAAACAGTTGTAGTAATTAATCAATATTAACCAAACACTGTCCAACGCTACACCACGTTGCAACAGGCCCAACCAACCACCTGAACTACACCAGTTCATTAAGCTAAACTAGGGGTGAGACTAATCACGGTGAATCTGGTTGATCGCCCATAACCGCGGGCACGGCTATTCGAATAGTTTTACTCTGGCCAGAGGTGTACAACTGTACCCACAAGACACGATTCCACACATGTCGCCATGCCCCGAAGTATCACCATGATACTGCAAAGGGGGAAATCGTGACAAGACCCTCCACATAACCCTCCCCTAACCATCCACACCACGCTAAGGTTTCACCCCCACCCCTCAAAAGGCAGTGGGCGGTCCCCTCTTGCGCCGCGGTGAATCCGGCAGCTGGACAACCGGACACCCCGGCCGACCCAACTCCATCACGCCCACCCTCGCCACCGGTGCCTAGGAAAGGGTCGAGCTATACTTCAGATCAAGCAGTTACCCACTCCCGCTTGTGGTAAGCACGGTAAGTCTCCCAGGGTTTCCCGTGAACCGGTCCTTAACTGCCATGGGTGCGACCAGCAAAACCATGCACCCACAACCCACCATTCAATGTATTTTAATTAACTAACACCATTGCGGTGGCACCAATCCAAAGCTATGCTCATAGTCAAAGTCTATGTAATAAGGTGATCCCCATTTGTGTGCTAGTTGAACTAAGCATGGCTAAGCATTTCCTAAACCAACATCTAGTCATTTTGATACCCAGGTTATCAATGTCATATGGTAAACAATAAATGGCTGAGTAATAGGACCCATTCCACATGATATTGTAAAAGAATGCAACATTTAATAGAAATGCGGGATATTTGTAAATTGGGTACAATATGATCAAACGTATTGCATGACTTGCCTTGCTCTCGCACTGACGAGACCTCAGCAACGTCTTCGAGAAACCGTGGATCGACGAAACGGCCGAAACCTACGCGACAAACAAAGCACACAAGCAAAACAGGCTATAAGACTACTGAAACAGAGAACAAAACCATTTTTAATGGATTCTACACATTTTTCTTGATTTACTGAGACTTGAATGGGATTAAACGGAGCTCGGATGAATTAGATATGAATTTTAGAAGATTCACTGTGTTTATTACTATAAAAGAAATCCTTAAATAATTTATTGCGCAATATTAACCAGGGCTGACGTCAGCACGGAGGGGTGCGGCGCCGACAGGCGGGGCCCACTGGTCAGCGGCACGGGGGAAAGGAGGGGCGGCGGCGCCACGTGGCGGCCGAACCGACGGCCCCGATCTACCCAAGGGTAGATCGGACGGCGGCGGGACCTCGCGGCCGGGGCGCGCGGGCGCGGCGCGAGACGGCGGCGACCATGGCGCCGGCGGCGCGGCGCCCACACGGCGGCGGCGCGCATGCGGCAGCGGCGCAAGGCGGCGACCGAAGGCGACCGACCGGCGGCGGGGAGCGGCGGCTAGAGGAGGAGCGGCGGCTACGCGGCTAAGCGGCGCGCACGCGGCTACACGGTACGGGGAAAAGGAGAAAGGGGAGGGGGAAGCCTCACCGACAACGGTCGACGACGGCGGCCGACGGAGGACGACGACGACGGCGGGACGAGCTCCGGAACCTCCTAACGAACAAAAGGAGAGGGATTAGAGAGAGAGGAAAGAGCGTGGGAGGGCGAGAGCGCCGGCCGAAGGCGGCGGCCATGGCGCCACTTGCCGGCACACGACGGGGATGGGTCTCCGGCGGCGAACCTCGACGGGGAAGGGGCGGCCGAGGTAGATCTCGACCCCGCGAAGCTAACGGCGGCGACGGCGCGAGACGGCGACGAGCCTAGCGGCGGCTAGCGGCGGTCGGAGTAGCAAAAGCGGCGGCGGCGGGTGGTTGCACGGCGCGGAGGCGATGGGGAGCTCGGGAGAGATCGGCGAAATGGGAAAAAAGCGAGAGAGGAGGACGGCGATGCTTAAAAAGGGGGAGAGGGAGCCGGACGTGGCCGGGAGCGGCGGGATTCGACGGCCGACGTGGGGGAGTGGGGAGGAGAGAGAGGCGGGATTCGGTTTTCGAATCCCGGCCATCTCGGGCGCGGGCGCGAACGGGAGGGAGAGGGGAAAGGGCGCGGGAGACGCGGCGCACGCGCGGGCGTGGCCGACGTGGCCCGGGAGAGACGGAGGCGTGGGCGCGGCGGCGGTTTCGGCGCGGCGGCGCGCCGGGATCGG